CAACCCCCCCGGCCTATGGCAGGGACATCTCCCACTAGACCAGGTTGCTTGAAGTCCCATCCAGCCAGGCCTTGATCACCTCCAGGGATGGGGCATCCACAACTTTATGGGCAACCTGTTCCAGTGTCTCACCAGCCTCACAGTGAAAAATTTCTTCCTAATATCTAATCTAAATCTAACTTCTTCCAGTTTGGAGCCATTCCTCCTCATCCTATTACCACATGCCCTCGTAAAAAGTCCCTGCCCAGCTCTCCTGTAGGCCCCCTTTAGGTACCGGAAGGCTGCAATAAGATCTCCCTGGAGCCTTCTCTTCTCCAGGCTGAACAGCCCCAACTCTTTCAGCCTCTCCTCATAGGAGAGGTGATCCAGCCCTCAGATCATCTTTGTGGACCCACTTCAACACGTCCATGTCTTTCCTATGTTGGGGGCTCAAGAGCTGGACACAGTAGTCCAGGTGGGGGTCTCACGAGAGTGGAGTAGAGGGGCAGAATCACCTCCTTTGACCTGCTGGCCACACTTCTTCTGGTGCAGCCCAGGATACGGTTGGCCGCCTGGGCTGCGATTGCAACGTTGCTGGCTCATGTTGAGCTTCTCATCAATCAGCACACCAGGTCCTTCTCCTCAGGGCTGCTCTCGATCCATTCTCCGCTAAGCCTGTATTTGTGCTTGGGATTGCCCTGACCGAGATGTAGGACTTTGCATTTGCTTTGTTGAACTCCATGAGGTTGGCATGGGCCCACCTCTCCAGCCTGTCCAGGTCCCTCTGGATGGCATCCCTCACCTCCAGTGTGTCTACCTTGCCACCCAGCTTGGTATCGTAAATTGCCAAGGGTGAACTCAATTCCACTGTCCATGTCACCAACAAAGACGTTGAACAGCACTGGTCCCAGTACCAACCCCTGAGAAACCCCGCTCGTAACTGGTCTCCACTTGGACTCCATTTTAATAGCATAAGGCAGATCTAACATTAAATATCATTAGCTATAGGTTAGCTTTATTTTCCCTTCACAAATTCAGCACTGCATTTGAGAACAGATTATGTCAACTGCACCTGTAGAAAATAATAGAAGACTTCTAACATAATACAGTTGTAATTTTGGAATTGAGAACATATTCCTTGGCTCTACAGGAATAATAATTCCTGTATCCACCTCATTTTCCCCCATAATATAAAAAAGGTACAACATACAATATAAGATATGTACTATAAAGGATGTTTTCCTGATTACATCATCATCACCTTATGATGCCGAGACGTGCTACTACCACCTTAGTGGATCATAAATATAACTGATATGCTCAGACACTGCACATTGGTACCAACACACATTGTTCAGCTGACAGTATGTACAGTCACTGAAACTTACTTGCAAGAGCTTTATTACACAATTTTTAAATGCAAAAACCTTCCATTAATGAATGAAAACACTTTTTATTTCAACTCATAAGAAAAAAAAGAAAAAAGCAGTAATATAACAATTAGCCTATTGGATTTTATTACAAAAACTGTATCTGTCACTCACCAATTTTTTCATCCAAAAGTATAATTTTCTTATGAGTAAGTTGCATTTCCCATCTTTTCTTAGCAAGGCTTTGTAGAGTCTCTGAAAGATTCTGTTCTGTTTTTTCATTCAATAAACTGGAAAAGCAGAAGCATTAAACAGGAGAATTCAGAAGTTTATAAATTATTTTTTTCCTTTTTGAAATGTCACAGAAGTTGCAAAACTTAAGGAAGAGCAAGATTCTTCTGTATATTTTAGACTATTTTTGATATTTTATTAATGTTAATCTTAATCTCCTGTAAAGAATCACAGAAAAGTAAGAATTCTTTACAACAGGTGGACGTAAAAACTTCTCAAAAATTATGAAAATAAAAATTATCACTTGGGATATACACTGGAATGCTTGACCTGTTTCAAGGTATGCCCAAGTTGTACATTCAAATCATGTAGAATATTAATAATTCTCAAACTGTGGAAGAAACTGAAGAGAACTATCAGCCTGGTTTGGGTGGAAAATTAAAAGATTTTACTAGCAGCAACTAATCTTCAACAACTCAATTTGTACAGTATTCCTAAATCTGACAACTTATTATAAAAGCAGCAATAACTCAGGACTGGCTTTGCAAAGGACTTCATGTTATTTTAGAAATCACAGTATCCTTAGAAATGTATTGTGGGCCAGCATAATATTGCACGCTAGCACCCAGCATTCCCACCAATCAAAATCAGTAAGAAAACTACGACTCCCAAGCGCCGACTACACCAGTCACTTGTAAGGACATATAGGTTTAGGAGACTGTTTGCATAACTGAATTATATTTAAGGAAATAAAAAAGGAAAAAGTCACAGTATCTTCTCTTGCACTCTGTTCGCTCAGTGGCCTAGTTCAGTCTGTGATCTAGTCCTCCTTATCTCTCTGCACAAACTTCACACGTGCTTGATCTTTCCCTCCAGTCAGTAAATTATCCTTTTTTATCTTGCACTCACTGACCTATGCTTTCTTCCCTAAAGGCTTCAACTGAGTCTAGTCTCACTACATGCTTCTGAACATGGTTAGGAACTCCAGTTGAGCAGCAGGCCATAAACCTTCATAAGGCTTCAGTTTTGTCTCCTCTCATGAAAAAGCTCCAAGACTAAGAAGAGGATGTCTGAAACTAACCACACGTCACACTCATTAGTTTACGTGTGTTTGCTTGCCTCTATAAAAACAATAAAAAATTAATATATTTTAAAATTCATATATCATTTACTAAAAAACATCAATCCCTGCAGCTTCTAATAGAAAGCGCCTAACTCAGAGCGAATTTTACTTTTTCACTGAAGATGTTTTCAGCATATCATAATATCAACAAGCCAAGAACATTTACATATAAATAAGCAATAAGGAAAACAATTTCATTCCAAAAAGATTGCTCATAAGAACAACTATCGTAAATTCCTTTCCCTTTGAGCTATATAACAGTTATGATAACTAATGAACATAGGCTGACGTTACTTGCAAACTAATGCAATTATGTACTCTTACTTACCTAAGTGAAGCATATTCAGCTTCCTGTCGGCTCAGCTCAGTTTCAGAGTCCAGTGCTCTTCTTGCCAATCTTTTCATCTCAGTTTCCAGAGAATCAACAGTGCCTTTCATTAGCGCCACTTTGGACATCTGTTCTAACCATTCACCATCTAACTATAAATTTAATTAAACATTAAAAGCTGAAAAAAGCTGATTTATACATAGAATTTCTCCTATTAATTCAAATTCTACTCTGCTTTTAGTACAAATCTTTTACTGAAGGAGAAATGTCCAAGTATCTCATTTACCCAGGGCCTGACTCCAGGTCTACTGAAGGTAGTTGGCAAAGAGCTGAAATGTGATTTTTCACTTCTTTTGAAGGAAAATCAATTTCCTGTCTTTCAGATCTTTGCTAATATTTTAATTTATTAATGTAAATTTTAGGCTGGTCATTATGCCCAAGGGCAAAAATATCTGTCATTTATCAACATTTAAAGTTGTAACATAACAGAAAACATTATTGTGAGTGTATGAAGGGAGAAATCCCAGTTCAGGATAGAACACTACCGATGATGGCTTCTAAGTTAAATAGCTATGCCGGTAACTGGATAGAGAAATCAGTGTAAAACACTTGCATAAAGCACTATAAATGAGGCCTTTAGGTCTGCCCCTAGAACAAAGAACAGCTCCAAAACCTCTTGCATAGACTCCAGCAAAGCTAGTATGAAATCTCCAATTTAAAGAAAGATGTGTTTCTTTATTAAAATGCTTACACTTAACATTCAAAGAACTGTCCTTTCTAAATTATTTGAAACAGCTCTTTTAAATTAAAAAATTCTCACCTCATCCCTCTCCTCATTTACTGATTCTTTCAGTACTAGTTTCTGTGTTACTATAATCAAAGACCAGACTTCTAAAGAGCAAGTCTCTGGTACACAGTAACTTTTTCAATACTAGTGCCATAAGTTTCATATTGATGTATCGCCCTCAAAGGGTACCAAATGAACTGAAGAAATAAGATGATGTACATAAAACAGGACTATTCCCAATATTCACTACACATCATATGTCAAGCATGTGATTAAAGCTAATTTACTACTCGGATTACTCAGAGATATTTAAGCCTACAGTGTTTTCTTCATCACAGATGCACTCAGTTTAATATTATAATCCTTGGAACTATACTTAGAAGCTTGGTAGGATTTAAAAGACTGAAGAGGAAAAACAAAATGAACCAGAATTTATAACCACAAGGTCTAGAAGAAAGATACACTACAGAAATTGGTGTTAATCTATTTAAAAATCAAGTTCTACCAAGACTGTAAATATATTTAAGATTTATATTCACTTTATTAATGTTTTAATTATCTATTTTAATGCCAGATGTTAGCAAACAATTGCACACACAAGTTACTTAAACCATATTAAATAGGACTAGCCAGAACAATACAATTACATTTGGGTTTGGAGAATCACATCTTAATAATATACAATTATAAGATAATTCACATTGGAATGGACTCCAGAAGGTCTCTAGTCTAAACACCTGCTCAAAGCAGGGCCAGCTTTGAGGTCAGGTTGCTCAGGGCTTTCTCCAGCCCGGTTTTGAAAAATCTGCAAGGCTGGAGACTACTCAGCTGTCCTCATGGGAAATAAGTATTTCCTTGTATTCAGCCTGAACCCTTCTCGTTTCAACTGATGCCCATTGTTGCTCATCCTTCCACCATGCACTGCAGAGAAAAGCCTGTTTCTGACTTCTTGATGAGTACTGGCACATAGGACTTACGTCCCCCTTAAGCCACCTCTATTCCAGGTGGAACAAGCCCAGTTCCACCAGCCTCCTCTCATATATAGTGGGGTATAATGGGCTTTGGATCCTCTGTATCCCCGACTCCAGAACCCCAGGGGTCGACCTCGAGTCTCCCCTGGTCCCTTCTGCCAGAGGCTCCAGGTAGGGCCATTCTCCCCGGCTGCAGTGTAGAGCACATTTTTAATGTCTTGTCCCACTCGGACTGGCGCCAGGGCTACTACACGAACTATTTCCTGCTTAATTTGTTCGAAAGCTTGTCGTTGCTCAGGACCCCACTTAAAATCATTCTTTTTCTGGGTCACTTGATATAGAGGGTTCACAATCAGACTAATTTGGAACGTGCATCCTCCAAAAACCCACAACACCTAAGAAAGCTTGTGTTTCCTTTTTACGGGTCGGTGGAGACATAGCTGCTATTTTGTTGACCACATCCATTGGGATCTGATGGTGTCCATCTTGCCATTTTATTCCTAAAAATTGAATCTCCTGTGCAGGTCCCTTGACCTTACTTTTTATGGCAAAGCCAGCTTTCAGAATAATTTGAACAATTTTATTCCCTTTCTCAAAAACTTCTTCTGCTGTGTCACCCCATACAATGATGTCATCAATATACTGCAGATGTTCCGGAGCTTCACCCTGTTCCAGTGTGGTCTGGATCAGTCCATGGCAAATGGTGGGGCTGTGTTTCCACCCCTGGGGCAATCGATTCCAGGTGTATTGGATGCCCCTCCAAGTGAAAGCAAACCGTGGCCTGCACTCTGCCGCCAAAGGGATCGAGAAGAACACATTGGCGATATCAATTGTTGCATACCACTTGGCTGCCTTCGACTCCAGTTCATGTTGAAGCTCTAGCATGTCCGGCACGGCAGCGCTCAGCGGTGGCGTGACTTCATTCAGGCCACGACAATCCACTGTTAGCCTCCATTCTCCATTAGATTTTCGCACTGGCCATATGGGACTATTAAAGGGTGAACAAGTCTTACTGATCATTCCTTGAGTCTCTGATTGACGAATCAACTTATGGATAGGAATCACAGAGTCTCGGTTAGTGCGATATTGCCGTCAATGCACCATTGTGGTAGCAATCGGCACCTGTTGTTCTTTGACCCTCAACAGCCCTACCACAGAGGGGTCCTCCGAGAGACCAGGCAAGGCGGATAACTGTTCAGTTTCTTCCGTCTCCAAGGCAGCTATGCCAAAAGCCCACCGGTATCCTTTTGGGTCCTTGAAGTATCCTCTCCTGAGATAGTCTATGCCAAGGATACATGGAGCCTCTGGGCCAGTCACAACAGGATGCTTTTGCCACTCATTCCCAGTTAGGTTTAATTCAGCTTCCAGTACAGTCAACTCTTGGGATCCCCCTGTCACTCCAGAAATACAAATGGGTTCTGCCCCTCTGTAATTTGATGGTATTAAGGTACATTGTGCCCCAGTGTCCACTAGAGCCTTATACTCCTGTGGCTCAGATGTGCCAGGCCATCGAATCCACACAGTCCAATAAACCTGGTTGCCCCTTTCCCCCACCTGGCTGGGGGCCGGGCCCCTCTAATCCTGATCATAGTATCCGTTACTCACTTGTTGCAGAAATGACTTGGAAGTACCTTCAAGGGGATCGGAGGTGAGATCAAGCCTTCCGCTCTGTCTGAGGAGCTGTCTGCTGGACACGGGAGCAGCACTTTTCCTGGAGGGATCCCGTTTTGTGATTGTTCTCCCTTGCAGCTCATGTACGCATGCTCGTAGGGCCAAGGTAGGCTGTCCATCCCACCTCCTCATGTCCTCTCTGTGGTCATGAAGGTAAAACCACAAGGGGCCTCGTGGTATGTACCCTCTATATTCTCCCTCTTGAGCAGGGAATCGCCTACTCCTGATAGCCGAGATGCTGGCCTGTACAGGTGGGGAGTAGGACATACTCTCTTCAAGTTGCTGGACCTTCTGGGACAGTTTCTCAACAGCTGAGATGAGGGGGGAAGAGAGACTTTCTTCATATTGACGGAGTCGTCCAGCCACCTCATCCACTG